TCCAAGTTCGTATTCCAGCCGTGTGTTTAGCGTTTAGAGGTCCTTTTCAGACGAGTGCAACTGTTGATCATCGGCATAGGCATTCAACTTTGCCTGCTTAATGTGATAGAATAAATCATCGATGCGAATGTTGAAAAATATGGGGCCAAGGACATTTCCTTTTCCTCCAGAAAATGTGTCTCCAATTTTTACGCGCTGTATTCCTGCAAAAAGGTAGCTCCTCAAGAGTCCAATGCTCATCTCGCCAAGACCATAAGCCTTGACTTTGGCTGGCAAGAGAGCATGAGGGGTACTGTCGAAAGCCTTCGATAAGTCCATAGAGACGATTGCCACAGTTTCTTTACTGGAGAAAAAGTCGTGATAGTAAAGAAACTTAAAAACGTATTTGTGCGCGATCTTCGCAGTACGGGTTTATGTAGAATTAATTTGATTAGTCGCTCCCAGTTGGCTTGTTAGCTCAATTGGTAGAGCGCTGCACTAGTATCGCAGAGGTGAGTGGTTCGAATCTCGTACAGGCCTGAATTTTTTCAGGTCTGATCTTCACTATTGCTTAAATGGTGCTCCTTACTGCGAGGATCGTGCACAAATACGTTTTTAACTTTCTTTACTATCACGACTTTTCCTCCAGTCTTTTATCAGTCTTAATAAAGAGGTTTCACAGCTGTATGGTCTATATGCAGAGATGAGATCTGGTAATATACCTTGATAAAAAGGCTCAAGTTGTTTTGCCAGGATTCGTTCAAAAATGTTATTGAGGGCCGGAAGAACAGATAAGGGTCTGTACTTCTTTTTACAAAATTCATCGTCTTTCTTAAATAAAGGGGTCACTTGCCCCATTTTCCAGCGTGAAGGATAGTGACCTAGATTGATTGAACAGTTCATTAGTTTTGCAAGAGGCTCTGATATCACAGATGCAGACTCCTTCAGTAATCGTGGAGGTATAGGTGGTTTGCAACCAATCTCTCGAGACACAGGTAACAATAGTGAAAGGAACAAATGCTGGTGGATGAACAAAAGGAACCAATTAGATATCTAATGTTTACGTCCACCAACATGGCGGCAATGACGTAACGTGCAAACCACCTTTAAGGTCATGGCCGCAGGATTTACGCGTATTCATTTCTAACAAAAACTTCTCCACTTGCTTTGAGGTAGTAGGTTCAAAATCGAAATTTGTCATGTTTGAAGAATGGTTAGTTATTATGGCCTAAATGCTTGGATGAGTGCTATAATCAGTTCCAAAGTCTTCCCCGTTTATCTCTGCTGCTGCATCAGCAATACGATTAATATAACTGTTAAAATACTCCCCATCTCACTTTTGTCTTTGATAACTACCCCGATTTTCTTCCAGTAGGATGTCGTTAGCTTGCCTTGATTTCCTTGACTGAAGAAAAGGACAATGAGTGTTTCAAAACTCGTTCGGTTTCTCTGTTGCTGATTTATAGAGAAAGTATGCCTTGATCACTTTTCGTCTCAAAGAAGTACACTTATTTCTTTGCTTTTGATAGAGAGCATTATTTGCATTTGTGCGATCATATGTGAAATTTTTCCATAGCTTATTTTTGTGTCGGATGGATTTGCGCCATTGTTCCGTCATAAAAGGCACTTGATTGCCTCACATGGAATTTCTTTATAGGTGCTTGTTCATTTATAATATCCAGATAAAGCGATTCAAATGCAACTAATTTATCGTCCACAGCGTCGAAAACATCCATAACATGAAACGGAGCGTTTTGAAGGTCTTTTGGCAGAATAATTTTAGCAAATAATCATTTTTGGTTACAATGAATATATGAAGTCCATATATTTTGAACTGCGGTATTAAATACGTATGATGCACGATCCTTCGCAGTAGATAGCGCTATTTAGGCAATAGCGAAAATCAGACCTGAAAAAATCAGGCCTGTACGGATTAATTTTCTTTATAGAACTTTCAAGGTCCAAAGATGAAAAATAATTGTTGATGCATGTTTTGAGGAAGTGGCCAGGACTCTTAATGATTGTGTTTTGTACCGTTAGGTGGAGAGAAGTGGTTGTTCTTTGCGGAGAGACTGGGCTTGACTCCAGCAGAAATCAAATTCCTAATCCATGCGACGCCATCCTGGAACATGCTCGAAAACAGAGGTTGATTGAGAATGTAGGAGATCTGTATGATATATTAGTAGACTGCGAATTCCCACGTTTAGCTAATTTACTGTAAAGAAACAAATTTACCAACGGCTCTTAGCTTTTGTTAGAACAAGCCAGCCAGAGTGCTTGGTTCATGAACTAACTTGTTATTACCAGTCAGATCAGTAAGTTGCCATATTGTAGTAAGTCCATATTCTACTCGTTTGTAGTTTAGTTCCTATTAATTATCATAGGCCCTAATGTTAAAAGAAATTTTTGCGCTTAGAATCCTTTGCAAAGAATTGACGTTTTGGTTTTATGCACTTTGTAAGTTTTATCTATCTGTTGAATTGTTTGATTGATTGATTGATTGATTGATTGATCGATGAGAAACACACTAGTTTTTGTACAGTTGAAATTCGCGAAATAGCTTATGAATACCACATAATCAAAAATGTGATATTAAGTAAGTATCAGCTACTTATTAGACAAGTGACTGGCGGGACCTAAAACATTTATAGGCTACGTATTTGGTTTTCGTCTGGGTGGTTTGCGAAGGATGTCTTCCAACCGGATCTTTGAAGTAGTTAGCGAAGGTGTCCCTTGACGTTTTAGGATCAGTATATCACAAATTTTTTTTTTTTTAAAAACGGAGGCGGGGATGTCAACTTGTGAGTCTCCAAAGGTCACAAGACATACTCGTTTAGAAGTGTAAGTACTGTAAACGAGTGACCATGAACTTTAAATTCGTAAACTTAGGAAGTTCGAAAAGAAGAAAAAATCTAATTCATACAAACAACCAAAAAAAAGAACTGAAAGATAAACGAAGTTAGATTTTGAAAATAATTTTTGTTGCCGATAATGTCGTTTTGCAAAGCGTAGGCATAGAACAAGAATAGGATTGCATATATTTTCATACAACTATTTCAGTTTAAATTATTAACATAGAACTGAAAATTAAACATGTTACAAATTTTTCATCACGAAACGAAATGAGAAAACCATCTGCTATTTCAACTTATCACAGTTCAATTTTTCATTTTCGTGGAATTTGTTTTTTATGACCCTTTCATAGGAAAGAGGACGTCTAGAAATGCTTATAACAGTTCTGTATGACTATGGCAAATAAAGCGAGTCGGGTCAAGCGTCGTCGTCAGCCTCAGTATTTTCCGAAAATCAGTCCATAGATTACCTCGCTTCCCCAAATGCTTTTTGTTAATCAGATAATAACATAGCTGAATCATAACGGTATAAAAATATATCAAAGAATGCACGTACAATTTTTAAACCCTTCCGCAGAGGTTTAAAGAAGACTCAAACTACTCGAAGGAACCTGAATAGCTATCATGTTGCACAATGGACTGAGACGGTTTCTCTAACGAGATGTCCGAAGTGACGGCCACAATGTAACAACCAGTTTCATAAAACCTCATTGAAAACTGGCCTATAAAAATATTAATCTTGAGAAAATTACCTACCCTACCCTCCCTCTCCCGAAACATGCAACATCAGAGAAAGTACAAGAATGCTTCGTTCTGCCACAGCTTGCAAGTGAAGCCCAGGGCCCATTTGTTCGAAGGCCGATTAGCGCTAACCTAGGGTTAAATTTCAATCCAGGTTTCTATGTTTCTCTGTTCAAAAGCTGTTTAGGGATAATTTTCCCAATTCTTTTTAGAGCATTCAATCATCAAATTGTAGAAAAATAGAATCAAACTGAATTATCTTTTAAAGCTTTTAAATCTGAAATCAAATTTCACACTAACCCCGGGTTGTCTTATCGGGTTTCTGATCCTTTTCTGTAACCTGAAGACTAGAGTAATACATTGGAGGGCGGAAGGTACAGGAGGCGGGAGACAATGGTCTATGAAGTGTGAGGCTGTGACCCCCCCCCGTTCACCCCATACTATAAGTGATGTAAAGTTTTCACCACTGAAGTTCACTACAGTAGGCTTCTGGTAAGCATATATCATGAAAAAAAAAATTAAAAAAAAACTGGGTTTAGTAATGTGGTGAAAATTGAGCCTTTGGGTCAAAAAAGGCAGAGAATTTGGATTCCTTTAGGAATATATCAGGCCCTTTTTCAGGCCTTATTCCACCCACTAGGTAAGTAGGGTTTATTACTGCGAGGAACGCTTTCATACATTTGAGGGAATCGCACCACACTTTTATGATTTTCATATATTCAAAATTCATTGATTTATATTAGAACGAGTTTTTTAACGGAAAATAAATGACTTGCTTTTCATTCATTTACTATTATAGCGGGGTTCCCAGGCGCGCAAAGCGCGCGTGGAGCACAGCCCCATTCCCATAGAGTATGGTCAACCTATTTTCGTTTGGTTGTCACGTGACTGACCGAGCGTACGTACGTACGTACGTGGCCTCTGTCATGTATGCTATCACGAAAATACTATATGATCAAATTTGAAAATATGG